TATTTTTTGATATTATTATTATTATTTTGAGCGATGGCTAAAGCCGCGGTGCTGGAGAGCAGGCCCCACAACGGCGTCGTGGCGAACGGCGAGCGTCACGGGCGGGCGCCCCGGCTCGACCGCGGGTGCTCATCACGGACACGGACGTGACCTTCCGCCTCGCCCACCTCCACTTCTCCGCCCAAGCCCTACACCCTGTTCGCCAAGTGCGCGCACCCTCTCTCTTTCCCTCCATTTGGCACGGCTCCACCCACTCCATTCCTCACATTCCCGTGCGCCCACACCGGCCCAGGTCGCAGTCGGCCGAGCAGCTGCCCACGCTCCAGGGGCGGCCCCGCCTGTCCCGCACCGTGCCCGCCAACAAGTCCTTCACCGTGGAAGACGTCTCGCCCCTTCAGGTACCCACCTCCACCTTCTTCTCTCTTAGTGTCGAGTTTGAGGTTTTATTCAACCTGTGTTGCGTGTCGTGTCGTGTGGTGCGTGTGCGTGTGCGTGTGGCTGTACACCGTACAGATGCACAGCGACGGGGACATTGCGGAACGGCACCAGCGGCGGGTGCGTCTGTTCGACTCGTCGGAGGCGGTCGTCGCCGACGCCGACGGAGGAGACCCGACCGGGGAGGAAAGCGACGACGTCAAAGAAGACGCCGACCCCTGAGCCAGGCAGGCTTGTAATAACAACCAACCACCCGCAACGACCACAACCCAACCGTCCGGGGAGTGTGAGTTGCGTTGCCATTGGTCCGGACAGACACCAGCACCGCAATCTCGGGAAATCGCGTGCGCAAGTTCTCTCTACTATTCGCCACTACGCCGCCACTCTTTTTGTGTTTGTGCACAAGAGAAGATGATGAAGTTGCACTCGATCATCTTTGTCGTCGTCATCGCGTTCGCGGCGGCCGTCGCGGCGCAGGGCACAATCGGAGGCTCGGTGTGGCCGCAGCCGGTGAATCTGGAGATGGGGGCCGGCGGCCGCGTCTGGCTCGACGCCCGCCAGGGCGCGAACGTGGACCTGCCCGCGGGCGCCTCGGCCGTGCTCGTCGACGGCGCCAAGCGCTACGCGTCCCTGCCCGGCGCCCTCTTCTTCCCGTTCGGCAGCGCGGCCACGACCCCGTCCGGCGCCGCCCCCTTGACCGTGAGCGTGGCGGTGGCCGACGGCGGACGCAACGCCAACCTGAGCCTCGGCGTCGACGAGTCCTACTCCCTCTCCGTCACTTTCTCCGGGTACACCACTTCTTCATTGTTTAGTTATTTATTAAAAGAAAATATTAAATTGTTATTACTGTTTTATTCATTTTTTAATCGTTGAAAAAGGGGACGAGTGACGGCGCAGGTGAAGGCGGGCACCGTGTTCGGAGCCCTCTACGCCCTTGAGTCACTGTCGCAGCTGATCCAGTGGGACGCCGACGTCTCAGTACCCCCCCCCTCTCCTCACTCCCACTTTCGCTTTCGCTCTTTCTCGTCTCGCGCACGATTGGCTGAGAGGTCTGACCGCGTGGCCTGTGCGCGTAGGCCTACTTCATTGAGGGCCTGCCCACCACCATCACCGACTCCCCGCGTTTCCCCTGGAGGTGCGATACCACTCCCTTCATTCTTTAAATGTGTGCACACTGTGGACGTAGAATTAAAAATAAAATAGGGGTCTCCTGGTCGACACGGCGAGGCACTACCTGCACCCGGACACCATCAAGAGCGCCATCGATGTCTTGGCCTACAACAAGGTGACTCCCAATCTCTCTTTCTTTTTCGTGTTGTTTGTTGTTTTGACATTTTTCTTATTTCATCATAGTACAACGTGCTCCATTGGCATGTGACCGACGCCCAGTCGTTCCCCATCGAATCCAAGATCTACCCCAAGCTCACCCTGTACGCACACATCACCGCACACGCACACGCACACGCACACGCACACGCACACGCACACGCACACGCACACGCACACGCACACGCACACGCACACGCACACGCGTATGAGACGACAGTTGCCTAAGGCCACGCGTTGTGTGTTTGTTTTTCCATGATGCAGGGGCGCCTACAACAAGCGCGCCGTCTACAGCCACGAAGTGGTGCGCGACATCGTCAGCTACGGATTCAGCCGCGGAGTTCGCGTCCTGCCAGGCACCCGCCCACCTCCCACAACGAAGTGTTTGCGCGTGTCGTGTGTAGCGTGTCATCATGCGCCTAACCAGCGTGTATCGCCACGTTCACCATTTCAGAGTTCGACATTCCCGGCCACGCTGCTGGGTACGTAACAACACCGCAGCACTCTCTTTTTTATTTTTATTTTATTTTATTCACTTTCATTTTTCAAATGTACATGTTAAGGAATGTTATGTTTTTGATTATTAATATATGATGATGATTTGCTGCTCCACAGATTCAGCTTCGGCTACCCCGAGGTTACGGCCAACTGCCCGCGCTACTCCGGCAACATCAACAACATCGCCCTCGACGTCTCCAACCCCTTCACGTATGGGCTACGCTTTTTCGTGGACTATGTGTCGTGCGTGCGTGCGAGTGCGTGCGGTGTGCTGTGCGTGTCTTGTGTGCCATATGAACCTGTGGCCTCATGCGTCTTGATGGTGTTGATGCTAGGTACGAGCTGCTGAAGGGCTTCCTCGGCGAGATGGCCGGCCTGTTCAGCGACGACTTCATGCACCTGGGCGGTGACGAGGTCGTGTTCGGCTGCTGGTTCAACGACCCCAAGATCGCCCAATGGGCCGCCTCCAAGGGCTTCAGCAACGGCGCCCAGATCGAGCAGGTTCCACGCTTCTCCTTCTCTCTTTCTCTCTCTCTCTCCCCCCCCCCCCGCTCCGTCTCGCGTTTCGTTCTTTCTTTTTGCCGACGCAACTTTTGTGTGCTTGCGCAGTATTTCGAGCAGCAGCTGCAGGCGATGGTG